CCTGTCCTATTGTTTTTTATTTTTCTTATAAGTATCTATCTCATGTATTCAAAACTATATTCGTATACCCGTATCTAGTAAGTGATTGACAGATCAAATAAATACTAAAAAAATAATATCAAAAGACAGATAGGGAGAATGACTATTTGGAGAACCCTGATTTAAAACAAGAACTCAACCTTTTCCCATGCAGACAGCTAATATACTGGTAGCATTTGAGTAAAGTGCTGTAGGAAACATCATTTTAAAAGTGGGATCAGAACACTAAACAGTTATTTAATTCTTTCAATTGCTTACATTAAATTACAATATGATTGGCATTAAACTGATCTCACTTAAAAAATAATTTTAGAATATTCAACATTAAAATTAACTGGTTTACACCTACACCCTGTCTCTTATAAAAATTAAGTGGGAAGTAATTTCAATTAATATAATGGTCTCAATATTCCACTCTAGCTCATCTTCAAGTTAAATTGATTTCTTATCAAACAAAGTGGAAAAGACAACCACCACTGAGTGGTCTGACATTAAATCACAGATGGCCTCCTGTGGATAATCCAGAATCCAATTCAGGAGAATGGAAGAGCAGGAATTGAGGACAGGGTGGGGGTGGAGTATGGCTGCCACAGAAAGCAAATGGTTCAAATGACCACACAGGCTTGTAGCAAAACCTGGCAGAAGGATTCTCATCTGAAGCTTTAGTAAGATGGATGTGAATCATGGAAAATTGCTAGACCTATACTTGAATACAGCTCATCAGTCTGGCCTCCTTCAGAAAAATAGGCAATTAAAAATGATGTGAAGTGTGCCTTCTAGTGTTCTTGTCAATCTTTTTACCAGCAGCAACCATAGGTGGTATCTGTTCCTACATATAACAAAGTAACATGCTACATAAATATACTTTTGTGCATTTCTGTTCTCCCATTACATCCGTGGGCATGTGTCCACTCAGAAACTCAAGGTGGACTGCATACACCCTATTCCGGATCATAGACGGAAGAATTAGCCAGTATGGAACTTGCGAATATTTGAGCAGCTGCCCACCTGCCTCTCATGTGTTGAAAAATATTTTCAGGAATTTTTTCCCTGAAGCCCATTGCTATTTTCCAACCCAGTCTTCTTTTTTCTGGTTTCTCCAGCTGTTAGTTTCCTTTAACTTAAGCATCAACTCACCCACTTGCTTGGCTTCAACTGCTGCTGTGTATTCTCGGCTAAAACTCAGCTCTGTGATAGCTACATCATCCAATATAAGGCTAAAATCCTTTGCTCGCTCCGTCAGTTCCCGTCGGATAAGCAAAGATACCTGAAAAAATAAACCCACAGTTTTTGCTCAAGGAATTTCCTTTGGCCAGAAAAAGTCACAAAATCGTAAAAGTCATAGAATCATGTTGCTGAAGTGGCCATTTAAATCCTTGCACCTATCCCTCTGATACAAGAATCTTTCTCCTCATGCTCCAACAGATCCTGGCAAGAAGAGTCCATCGCCTGTCTGACTTCATTCTACTCTTAAACTGCTCTTTACCAGTTGATATTTAAACAAAATATGCCTTCCTGCAATTTTGGATGGTGGGATGAACATTTAAATCTAATAAATAAACTTAAAAAGTCATAAATCAGAGCTGTCCTTTAAGGTGTCCCCCCCCCCATGCCAGCTTTTCAGATATCTGAAAGGTGCTATCATATCCCCTTCACTTTCCTCTTTTAAAGGCTATATATTCACTATCCTTTCAGTCTCTTTTCATAATAATTTGTTTTTAATTATCCAATGGCCCTCATTGCCCTTTTCTGACCTTATTTAGTTTATAAATTCTTACATTCTTAAGAATAATTTTTTCTAAAAAGATTGGCCATAATAATTCTTAAAGAACTGGGCTTACTACTGGCTTTTCAAGATGCTGCACAGTACATTTCTTTTTTCTCTTACCAATTATATACTAATTTCACTGCTAATGTTGGTTCTTTGGCAATGCAGCTCCCTGGTTTTGAATAAAGTACTTAGGAGTGAGCCAAGACACCTTATGGACAATAGTGGACCCAGCGGGCAAGGCCTGTGTGTGTGTGTGTGGGGGGGGGGGGGGGGGGGTCCTTAAAGATTCCAATTCTCTCTGGAATCAATCAAAAAGTCATTTGGGGAGATGTGTAGCTCCTAGCTGGATTCCTCTCTCGAAAACTTGACAAACTTTTAACGATTGTTAAATCTAAAGAACTAATACTTTATCTCTGGATGTGGATGAAGATGCACACAAAAGGACTTTGAGCCAGTTCCAGATCAAAAAGATAATTTCATGGCCAGAGAATCAACAAAATGGATTTTATCTGCTGTTTCGGAGTTTCAGTCTGCACATTCTTTCAACTACGCTTCGACTACAAGGAGAAAAGAGGCAAAACTAGGCTTAATAATCAGTGCAAGATCTGAGCAAAGCAGAATAAAAAATACCCTAAAACTACATTTGCTACTTTTGCAGCCATAGTGCACTACTTGTCTATGCACATCTGCTACCAAGTCAGGATACTTCTCAATTTCTTGTCTAAAGGAAATTCGCAAAAGATCTCATTTGTTCCCTAAACAATTGCTTAATATATAAATCATCTGCAGCCAGCAAACTACTGGACACAACTGTGAAAAGTAGGATTAAGTGCAGGAAGACAGGTCTGGTATCAGAAAAGGACAAACCTGAGCTCGTTGGGTAATGAGCTGTGACGCATTAAACTTTGCTACCACACTTTTGAGTACTTCATTGACAATGGAAGGAAGAACACGTTCTTCATAGTCTAGTCCAAGTCGCTGATATAAGCTGGGCAATTCTACAGCATTGGGTCTTGATAGAACACGCAAGGAGATATTCACCATCTGCAGATCTAGAGTTGAAATTAAGTCAACCACAATCTCTAAAGTGCATTCTATCTTATTTCTCAAGTCTGATTATATATCCAAACACACCATCCAGAATCAGTTGTTCTGAAGTCCTTAATTTACATTCTCGCCAGAGAACTGTATGCTCTTCCATGAAGTACAAACAGAAGGATGTCAAAACTGGTATAAAATGCAAAACTCAAAATTATGGAAGCACGAATCCTATCTTCCCCAAAATGCCCCGTTTATAGATAGACATCATTCTTAGTACAAGTTCCATTGCAGAATTGTTATAAAGATGAACGATGGAGAAATATCTAAAACATAATGCTGAGTTTGTAGCAAGTAAAAACTCTGTGCAACTCTGTTCTTACCTTTGGATCCTGTTGGTGAGGAAATTTTGCGGGGCCGGGCTCGAATATCATAAATTATTGGATACTGGAACCAAGGAATTCTGTGGAGATTAGCAATGATTATAACTGAAAGAGATGTAAAAAAAAATCCTATGCCTCTTACTTGGAGATACAAATATTATCACATAATCTACTCCTTACTCTTTAATGAGAAAAATTTCTGAAGGTTTTAAGAACACCATCTTAGCAAAAACAGAAATTATATCAATATGAGGGGTTTCTTCAGGGAAACTGGAATAAATGAATGAATGAATGCTTTATTGCCCAAGTATAATCAGACACACAAGGAATTTGTCTTAGTGCAAAATTGGTAAAAAAATATCTTGCCAAGCTGAAGTAATATCAAATTAAATTTGGGGGAAAATAGGATATTTTTGGAAATATTAGTATGAAGATAATATTGCTTTGAAATTCCCTGCTACATTCTAATTATTATTATTTTTTTGGCATTACACCACCCAATCCGCTAGATCAGTACCTGAAATGAAGTCCTTCTGAAAGAACAATATCCTGCTGAACTCCACCAATGCGGTTGAAGAATATTGCTCTTTGTCCCCCTTCCACTGTAGAAATCAAAATCATTCTGGTGTTATTGTCAACAGTTGAGCAAAAAAAGAGAGAGAGAGATGAAAAAATTAGAATAAAAGTTACCGTACCTGTAAAGACAGACTCCCGGATCCCGTAGGCTGCAGCTCCAGCACCCAACAGCAACTTTAAAGCCGTGCTCATCCCACGTGGGCCAGCAGGCAGGCGGCCAGCAAAGTCCTTCAGGCTCTGAGCCATGGCAACCTTGTTATGGAAGCAGGTTCACAATTATTCCGTTACACAATTCTGCAGGATTTCTGTCTGATAAAGCTTGGAGGGAGAAGGGGACTGGTGTGCATCAAGCATTTTATGTATGCAATTATCCCTGAGTAAAGAATTCTGCACTGAGAGCCACACCAACAAGAGCGCCAAAACTTTCTAACCACTTATGCAGACCCATGATAAACGTCCTTGGAGATGATAGATAGATAGATAGATAGATAGATAGATAGATAGATAGATAGATAGATAGATATATTTAAACAAGATGTTATGATAAAGCAGCCCTTCTTTATTTACTGCTAGGTTTGCATTAAGGAACATCGCCTCGTGCAGAAGTGGGATATTGCAGGTACCTGAAAAGCCACGCACCCCGGGGTGAGGCAAACGAATTACTCAGCGCCACCCCACACCCGACTTCGTTCAGCACAGCTGTTTAAATCATGAATAACCCCCCCCAGCCACCCCCATTCCAGAGCCCCACCCCGTTTGAACGGTCTCATTCAAGCACTGAATCGGTCAGCCGCTCCCTTCCCCGACATGCCTGCTGCCCTAAAGGGAATTCACTAAAGGGAATTCATCCTCGGAGAAGCAGGCGGGGGCTCTAAAAACGCTTCTGCTCCTCTCAGAAAAACCTCACGGCAGCCGCCTCTGAGGACAACGAGCCCTCACCCTCGTTCTCCAGTCACGCCGCCGCGCCGGAGAGAAGGACACAGGAAACGGCGGGATCCGAAAAAGCGTTTCCGGGTCAGGCGGCCGCGGCCGGAAGGGCTTTTCCCCTGGCGCAAAGCGTGCGGCCTTCGAGCGACCCGAGGCAGCTAACGGCTCTCGAGCCCCGGAAGCCTACTGGCGCTTCGTCATTTGCGGCTCGGCCCGTCTGGAAATGCGACGTGAGTCCGTGCGAACAACGCGGGCCTTTGTTTACATCTGGGGCTGCTCGAGCGCCTTGAAGCGAAAGGCCCATTCGGGAACAGGAAGTGGCTGACCCTGGAAGAGGAAGCCACTGAGCCCGGGGGGGGGAGGGGGGGAGGAAGCGCGAGTACGCCGCTTTAAAGATGGCGGCGGACCCCGTGAGGAAGCGTCCCCATCTGGAGGGCGGCTCTGCGGACGGTGCGGGGTTTGATCCCCGGCGCGCCGGGAAGAGGCGGCTGGTGGTGATCCTGGAGGGGGCGTCGCTGGAGAGCGTCAAGGTGCGGGCAGGCGCTGCTGGCCATTGTGGTCCGAGAGAGCGTTGGGCAAACTTGTAAGCCTCGGGAAGAGGACGGAGGAGGGTCCGGGGGGAGAAGCGGCTTTAAACTTCCCTTCCGAAGCAGTCGCCAAAGTCAGAAAAGCTCCTTCGGGGCGGGCGGGAGTGGCTTCATCACCTTTCTCTGAAATACGTTGGAATTTTAATCTGTACAAGGATCCTGTGGCCAACAATTCCCAAGCTGGCCATATCCACGTGCGGGGTGAGAGCAGCCACCGGAATCGTCACTTTGGATTCGGGAAATTGTAATCCCAACGTATTTGGAGGGCTTTTAAAAAAGGTGTCCGGACGAAGAACCGTGGGGAGGAATTCTCGTCATATGGAGCCCTCTTACCAGAATTGATATATTTATGCATAGGTGTTGCCGTTAGGGTCATAACTTAGTGTGCGATGCAGAGGTCTTGGTTTCTGAAAATACTGTGTTAGATTAAGAGCGCTGATAAGGTAGGGGAAATTCTGTTGAGAAATAAAATTGCCATTTCCTACCACAAAATCAATTTATGGAGAGTGCCATAAGATGTGTCATAGAGAACGAACATACGGTAAATGTGTCTTGCTCATGAACCAAAGGGGTAGAATCAGCATTCAAAAACCACATAGAAAAGTTTTATCTAGTAGTATGGAAGGGAACTTTTCCTAATTTGGCACTTCTATTGTTTTAAGGTTGGGAAAACATATGAATTGCTTAATTGTGACAAGCATAAATCATTGCTTCTGAGGAATGGCAGAGACCCTGGAGGAGTTCGACCAGACATTGCCCACCAGGTATTCTATGCATATTTAAATCCAGTTTTATGGCCCACCTCTGTTTCTGAAATATTAATTGGGAAATCACATTCATGAAAAGGCAAGAAACTAATGCTGGTAATTCTATTTTTGAATCAAGTCACAAATGCTCTTTATTTTTTCACTATCGTTCCTTTGTTTTTATATATATGTGTGTGTGTACATACAAATACTTTTTTGAGGCACTGCTTTTTCTCAAATATTCTTTACAAGTCTTGAATTGTTCTGAGACATACTTCCTAGATTTTGCTTTTTAAATAGGTAAGTGTATGATTTTTCATTGTTTAATTTAGAGCCTCTTGATGCTTATGGATAGTCCTTTGAATCGAGCTGGCCTTCTCCAAGTATATATTCATACAGAAAAAAACGTTCTTATTGAAGTCAATCCACAGACAAGAATTCCTCGCACCTTTGATCGTTTTTGTGGTCTTATGGGTAAGAAATACAACTAAGATACGCTGCCCTGAATTAAGTATACTGAGCAATGTTTGTCTGTGGATCTTTGTAAGACCAGGGGTGTCAAACTCTGGCCTGCGGGGTGCTTAGATCTGGCTTGTGGGGCCAGCATGGAAACAGCAAAAGACTGCCCCACGATGCCTCTGCCAGCAAAAATGGAGCTCCGGGGGCACGCGTGACCCCCCCGCCAAGCTCTTTCGCTGGCAGAGGGCTAGTAAAAAAAACTAAAAACAAAAGGAGAAGTGTTTCCCCTTTCGCATTTGAGCATAGCACTAGCACTTATATATAGTGCTTTACAGCCCTCTCTAAGCGGTTTACAGAGTTAGCATGTAAGAAGGGACAGGAAAGGAGAAAGGGAAAGAGAAAGATGGGAAGAGAGCAAAATAGGAAAAATAAGGAAAGAGGGGAAGGAAGAAGAAAAGGAAGAGGGAAGGAAAAGGAAGGAAGGTTATAATCAGTGAGGGAGGATCTCAGGGAAGTCCTTTCTTAGCACTTGGCCACTACAGGTCCCCCCCACCTCCCAAGATGAATGGTGTTGAGCTGGCTACACCCACCATTGCCAAACCCCCCCCCCCCAGGTCAAACACAACCCTGATGCGGCCCTCAATGAAATCAAGTTTGACATCCCTATTTGTAGACTATTAAACTAGTCTAGTTTGGGATCTCTTTTACTGGTACAGATGCACACTACCTTGTAGAATGTTTATATGGGGTAGCCTAAAAAGTAAGATCTTAAAGAGGAACAAACAAAAGGTTGAAATTATGCTGCGGGTTGAAACTATAAAAAGTTGGTAAAGTTTAATGAAATACATGGATATGATTATGTTCCATCTATTTTTTATTGATATCATTGTCAATCCTGACAATTAACATATTGTCATGTGGCACCATTGTTTAAAAGGGTCCAAGGCTCCATATATGGTCCCGAGTCTTATAGTCACCTGTGCTTTACATTGCAAATATGAATTCATTCAATTTCTTAATGGATAAACAACCTGGCTTTCTGTATGAATCTGCATTTTGTCAGTCCATTGGTCTGGTAAGAAGGCTAGAGCAGTGGGTACCAACCGGTGATCTGTGGACCACTGATGGTCCACAAGAACATTCTGTCGTACCTGGGTGGTGGAGCGGCTCCGGAATGACCAACGGGCCAGTCTTGTGACTAGAACTCTGGAATATGGGAGTAGCCAGGCAGCTCGTGGTGGGGCTGGAAACCTCAGCCGTAGAGGATGGTACATGCAACTTCACAGTGGTGTAACGTGCAAGGAGTAGTGCAGCCCTCGCCAGCCAGAATGAGGTAATGGTGCTGTTGTGGCAAGGTGGGGTGGCGGCACAAGTGAGCCGAAATAACGAGGGGTGGTAACCCGTGGTTCTTTCATCCCCCTGCTGTGGCTCCCTGTTGGCTGAACCCACCAGTGGTTGGCCCCTCCCTCCCTCCCAGTCACTCCTTGACTAGCCTGAAAAGGTATGGGTGACAGCGGCAGATGGAGACTCGCTTCATATTCCAGAGCGGGAGCAAAGTGCCCCTATAATTCATCTCTTGCTGGGTCTCAAGGGCGCTTCTTCTGGCCCTTCTTGGGGCTGTGCACACCTTAGTCGCTCCGGGAGATGCACGACTTGGTTTCTGCCCCGAGACACTGGTCCGACCCAGCCCTTTCTCTCCACTACTGCTGTTGGCGCCTCCATGGCCTGGTCGCTGCTCTTGCGCAGCAGTTAAATTTTGTGTGCTTTGCAATGGGGGAGATGGCGATATCTCCTCAAGTCCATTATGACACGGAGCATCCGCCGCAGCCAGGTTGGGCAAGTGTCTCATGGATAGAGAGCAGGTTATGCATCTCCCTGAGCAACTGAGGTGTGTCCAGCACCAACAAAGACCGAAGAAGCACCTGTGAAGCCCAGATAGCGCTGGAGAATCAGAATGAGAGAGACAAGAGAGGGAAACAAAGAGAATACACAGAGAGAGACAGAGACAGACAGATGAGCTGAGAGATACCTCTTTCCCATAGAAAACACCTGAACCAACAAAACTGGGTAGGCATGGATGGGGGGGGGGTCATGTGACTGGGTGAAAGTGAGTGATATCGAGTTGGCACCCCCATCCAGGTTTTGTAGCTCCTAGTGTTTTGTTTGGAGAACGGGTCCAAATGGCTCTTACGAGTGTTTAAAGTTGCAGAAACAGGCTGTCAAGCTAAGTGCCTGAAGGATCCCATCCTGTCATGGGGAGTCCAGGTGCTTCAGTGAGCGGCATGCATGATTCATATTAGTGGTCCACGGGATTTAAAATTGTGGTCCCTAAGGTCCAAAAGGTTGCTGACCTCTGGGCTAGAGAGCCATCATCTGGTTTAAGGTAATTTTGTATTATATGTGCTAAATTAAATCACTTTCCCTTTCTGGGGGTGATAAATGGATATTAGCTTTCCCTGTCAGGTCATTTAATTAGTAGGTCACAAATTATGCATTAGTTTGTGGGAAGAGAAAATATTTTGAAAACCAGTGCTTGTATGGGATTGTTGCAAGCAAGTAAGAGTATGTGTTAGTAACAGTATTCTCAATGTTTGTCTCTCCTTAGTTCAATTGTTGCATAAGTTTAGTGTCAGAGCTGCCGATGGACCTCAAAAGCTGTTAAAGGTAATAATTCTACTATGATTCTATAGAAGATTAATTATGTTTCTATTACCAGCTTAATCCAGCTTTTTTTCTGTAGGTGATCAAGAACCCAGTGACAGATCACCTCCCTGTGGGCTGTGCAAAAATAGGCACCTCGTTCTCAGCCCCTCAGGTGACAGACATGCGTGACCTAGTCCCTACTGCAGATCCTATAGCCATAATTGTGGGGGCGTTTGCTCATGGATCGGTAAGGCCTGCATATGTTCTTAGGCTCTCTCTTATTTCAAGTTATCTCCACCTTAATTGAGGTTCTGAGAGCAAAGATAAGTCCTTGACTTATGACCACAATTGAGCCCCCCCCCCACATTTCTGTTGCTAAGTGAGACATTTGTTAAGTGAGTTTTGCTCATTTTACAATCTTTCTTGCCACTTTTGTTAAGTGAATCACTGTAGTTGTTAAGTTAGTAACACGGCTGTTTAGTGGATTTGGATTCTCCATTGACTTTGCTTGTCAGAAGGTTGCAAAAGGTGGATATATGATCTCAGGATGCAGCAACTGTCATAAATATGAGTCAGTTGCCATGCACTGAATTTTGATCAATGACCATAAGGCTGCTGCAACAGTTTTAAGTGAAAAACAGTCATGTTATTTTTCTCAGTACGGTTGTATCTTCAAACAGTCACCAAATCGTCTAAGTCAAGGACTACCTATATTGTCTCTTGTTATGGAACTGGATTAAGTGTCTTAAGAATGGGTGCTGTAAACTTGGTACATTTCTATAGAGGGGTGGGAATACTAGTGGGAAAGGGCTAATAGCCACTAATTATGGAGCTGACTTTTTTGAGTGCACCAATTTATAGAGAGTTATAAACACAGAAATTTGTTTTCTGGAAAGTTAGATCATTTTTTCTAACTTACACTCTCACCTAAGGTATTAAACAATGTAACTTATGTACTTTAGAAACTTAACTGCCGTTTTTCTCCTTTAGCTTAATGTTGACTACACAGAAAAGACCGTCTCTATCAGCAACTATCCACTCTCTGCTGCTTTGACTTGTGCTAAAATCACCACAGCTTTTGAAGAAATGTGGGGAGTGGTATAAGCTTCCTGTTTTGCTTACAGATTCGTAGCCTATGATTTGGTCCAACAGGCTCTATATTGTAAATGTTATGTACTATACCCTTATTTATGGGAAATACATCAATACTTTGTAGTAAATAAAGAATTTTTTTATATAGCAGTGTGATACTTAATAGCACTAGCAAATAGCACTTGAACTTATATACCGCTTTATAATGCTTTACAGCCCTCTCTAAATGGATTACAGCGTCAGGATATTGTCCCCAACAAATTGGGTCCTCATTTTACCAACCATGGAAGGCTGAGTCAACCTTGAGTAGGTCAGGATTGAACTCCTGGCAGTGAGCTGTGAATTAGCCTGCAATACTGCATTCTCACCGCCACAATTCTTAATGGTTAGCAATAGTTGCTCTATATTTTCACCAGGTTTCCCACCTTGTCTCTTTTTCCTACCCAAAATTATTTTAATAAAAAAATATGAAACTGGTATGGCACAAAGTCCTAGCTTGTAGCATCTTACTTCTTCATATCAATCTCTAGGACCTTTAAAGTTTCCTCTGGGATTATAGAAAACTTCCTGGAAACTAATTTTCCTTTGTGATTTGCTATGTTTTTGTCATGACAGTCACATATAACTGGCAAGTCTCAAAACAGTCATTTCACCTGTATCTCCAGTCTAAAAAAAATTTCCCTGCTTCTCCATGAACTATATAGCAAATTAGCTGAATAACCAGCTTTGGAAGCTAGAGACCACTGAATAACAGCAATCCCATTACTGTTGCCAGAGATAGTCTCACTTAGTCCCAGTGATGCCAATTTATGCATACTATTTCGTCATTTGCCCTTCTGAAGATGCCTGTGACTGTTTTAACTGCTCCAAGCAATCAGGAGAAATAAAATTATTAGAGCAAACATTTTGGCTAAAGTGTACTCACCACTGCTGAAACTGTACTAAGATTGGTATTGTACATAAGCAATTATCTGTACAAAAAGAGAAGTGTCCTCAGTTGCTGTGGTGCACTTCGTTAAAGGCACAAGAACAAGGTGTGAAGATGAAGTGGGCAACCTTCATGTGCATCCAGGAGACAAGGTCAATCTCTGATAAATCAGAATACCATATTTAACTACGGTCCTCATTTTTACCATAAGCTACAAATAACACTAGTAAGAATAGAAAAAACAGTACCAGTTCCAAAATCTGGTGAAAAGAAGCAGCTCAAGCAATAATGAAAAACCAACTTGGACCAATTTTATCTAGTGGCATTGGAAAGTAAAAAAGTCAGGCAGATGCTCCATTCCTAGATGGCAGCTGGATCAAGTGCTTTACAATCATCTGACACTGCAGAGGTGGAAGTGTCTGGGGAGAAGTTGAGATAAGGCAACCTGTAGAAAGGGTAAAGAGGTTTGCAGCCTGTTCCCCTCAGTTTGGGGTCTTGACCCCTGTGCTCTTTCAACCCCAGTCACTGTAATACAGTTTGTCCACAGCAAATTTGGCAGGTGATGCTTCAACCATCCTGTAATAAATGCACACATGGTACAATCTGAAAGGAAAAGCAAAATAAGTCAACTAGGTGTCATCCAAGACCACTATGCTAGCGATTAGTCAGGAATAGTTCTCTCACCTTTTGGCCGTTACTCATCTTTCTTTAACTTTTCTTTTCGTGGCACAAATATTTTTCGGAAATAAGGCAATGTAAACAGCAATGTAAAGAACAACACGTGGCCTGCGAAATAAATAGACATGTACACCTGCAAAAAAGGATGAGGAAGTCAGTGTGCTGTGTCTTTCTCCAGCCAGTAAATAGAGGGGAAATGCCCTCTTCTAGACAATCTGACTCTTAGTACCTTAATCCACTTTTCCCAGCTAAAGAGGCAGAATGGTACTAGAGAATATCCCATGAACATCCAGTGAATAATTTGCTGAATCAAGTAGAAAAAGGGCCTCAAGATGATGTTTGAAGCCAAGGCAGACAGAAATGGGCTGTCGTTTACCAGTTTAATAGCCTGTAATTACAAAAAACCAAAACCATAATAAGCTTTAACCTTACAGATGAACAAACAAAACAAAAAGCTCTGTGCTGCTTACCCATTTTTTACTTTCCTTCCTCCCAGAAAAATCTCTTCAGTGTGCTTATTCTCATATCACTGGAGCAGTTGCTTCCACAATCGTTTGGTATTTCAATAAATTACCACAAGTTGCCAATCAGCCTTGAACTGCTCAGCTTGAAATTGTCCTGGGTTCATCAAGAGACTGTTTCCCTAAGCCTATGTGTCGCAGCTGTCAACCACTTCAAAGAATGTAATCTGCATTTCTTTATTTCTTTTCCTGAATGGATTTACGTTTACTAATGTCTTCCACACACTGAAATGCACAGACTTAACATTTTATTTCATTCTCTTAAGAAGAGTTCAACTTAACAACTTAGCATAAAAATGCCATTGAGGAAACTCAAAAGCAACTTCCAGTACTTAAGAGTCCTTGCATATTGTGATAATTACTGGATTCATCCATGTGCTAAAATGTACTCTGAAACAACCTAATTCAATGAACTCTTGAATGAACCAAGTGCACCTTTATGGGCTTCTGATCTTGCTCCTTTCACTGGAATGAAAGCAGTGTCACACTGCAGGTTCCATTCCCCCTGAGCGTAAGTACAATGCTGCATGTAGAAAACAAGCAGGGCTTACAACACACCACAGGTGTTATCAGTCTGGCTGTTTGTTCTTCCTTGTGCCCATGGATGCCTCAGTACAATTTTGTCAATCTATAATGCACTCATCTGACCTTTTTTTTTTTAAGTGGATCCAGATATTAAATATTATCTAAGATAACTCTAAAAGGTCCTCACCTGCCTCTCCACAGTGACAATCAGGAACTCCATTTGGAAGCAAACTAGATACCCACAGTGTAGCCCATGCCAGACAGCCAGGAAAAACAAAGATAAAGCTTGTGATAGTAACTTGTTTCCCAGGAATTTCAGCCGTTTGTATATATAGCTAGGAATGGAAATATAATATTGTCAGGGCAAGCGTCATCATTATTTTGTTTCTTCAGAAATAAAACACTTAACAAAGACATCCAAGAAACTACCAACATTTTATTCTTTAACTTCGGGTTGTTCAAAATAAATATTAAAATTTAGCAGGCTCTACTTTGAATGGTGTGAGTATACAAGAGGTTTACTAAAACTTCCAAATATAAAAGGTCCTCAGTGGGAATACCAGAAATCAGGGATACTGTTTGAGTGCTCTGAATAGCTCCTTGCTCTTAAGTCAAAATAATTCCTACAATAAATCTCTCTCTCTCTTTGGTGGAAGTGTGAGGAGACTATAGCTGTGTTTCTTTCATCATGGAACAATAATTCTTACTCCCATTTTAGGCATTGAGTAGCCCAATTTTCTAAGCCTCCAGCTGTAAATCCTCTGCTTTTCGAGCCAAACAGTAATCTTGGGAGGCTTAACATTTTTTAGAGGACTACAAACTGCAATGGGTTGGGCAATGATGCAAGAGGGCAGAGTCATATCATATGATTGAGTGAGTTTGGGAGTTTTCTGTTTTTGTGCATTATGTTGCTCAAACTCCCTGGGAGACCTACAGCTGATTTTCTGTAGTAGTGGTCAAAAATGCTCTGGGAAAAATGCTCGGGCCTTGCACACAAAAATCACCTTATTTCCCCAAACTCAATCCCATCCCCAAGCCAGCCCTATTCCATTCTTGCTCTCCAGCTGACTCAAACTGTTCTGCAGAAAACAGCCAAGTTATGCTCACCGGGCTAACCAGTTGTTGGTGTTCGTATTGAAGGAGGCAATGGTTCCTGTAAAATAAGGAGTTGTCTCAAACATCCAGATTTTCATGTTGGCACAAGCATCCCACTGTGGTAATCCCTTTTCATCCCTTCCATTGTAGCCTAGCCCAGTTAAGATGCAAACTCCTTCCTGGAATAAAAATAACATGATTATTAAGTTATGCCAATTATATATTATTCTATCTAACCTAATTAGAAAATATATTCAATGTTCTGGATTAGTGGCTAGACACAATAACGGGCTAGATGAAGAATGTCAAGCTAAAATTAAGTCCAGTGTTAATTAGTAGTGAAGTAAGCTAGAGATGAGACCCAGCCTATCTCCCTGAAAGAAGAGATCTCTAGCTTGGTCTGGATCCACCTGTGGCAGCTGTGGTGGTGAGCATAGATCTGAACAATTAAAGGAAACCTACCAGCTACGATGATTCTTTAGCTACTTTTCCCCACAGCTTGAACTATTATAATAGATTCTATGTGGAAGTAATCTTGAAAAGTGCCTGAATGATGTAAACTGGTACTAGATCTGCACTAAATTCAAACTGCTTTCTGGGTACAGTTTAAAAGATTTTTGTTATTTTTTTAAAACTTCTGAATAGGTTAAATTAGCTAGAACTGCTTCAGCTGCCCAAGTAACAGAGGCCTAAATATCACTTGAGAACTGTGTTTGCCCTTCACTCAGTCTCTGTAAAGATGCCTCTCTCTTGCGAGGGCCTTTGAAGATTAACAGATCTGTTTTGTGGTTACTTGTTTTTATTGATTTTTCTATTCAGTATATATATTATTGTTTTAATAGCTGGGTTGGTCTTTTTCAAAATAAAGGTGGCCCCAAATTAAGAAAAGAAATAAATTGGCTAACTTCCAGGCTTACCGTCACTAGCCAACAGGTAACGTACTTGTAAAGCATTATCTTGCCCCAGATCAATATGTAAAAGCAACGAAACCAGAAGGACTGTTTCTGCATTATAAGAACACATTTGTAAAATAAGATTAGTGTCAGAAGGCAAAAAAGTTTTTTGTATAAATTCCTAGTACTTTTAATTTTAATTTTCCAAGATTATAATATAAAAGTGTACTTCAACAACGTAAACCAATCATAAATGTATTTTATATTTAGAGACATTTTGAAATATCAAAATAAAATCACACAGTAAATTTTAAAAAATGCCCTCACTTAAATGCCAGAAGGAGCATATATATTTTTATCAGTCCAATATTTAATCACAGAGTTCATCTTAGATAAAAATAAGCCCAACCTCAGAACCCTAAATAGGCCACTTTCAGAAATAGCTTTCCTGGTCTCAAATTTTGGAACAGTATTACCATAGCATACAATAAAGCCATGGCAGGCAAAATGTGAACTATTAAGAAATTGTTAGGATGTGTAAATCTGAAAATTTGACTGTCAACTCATGAAGTGGCTTTATTGTAGATATTAGCGATACGTGTTCACTGCTTTCCTTCAAAAGATACTACTCAATATATTACTTATAAAAAGTTGAACTTTCAAAACAGTACGGAATGTGTGTGTGTGTACGCGCGTGCGTGTGAATAAAAGCAAATAGTGGTACACTTTTAGAAACAAAGAATACTGTTTCATTTGTACTAGCAGATGACTAAAAGAAAGCTGTTCAATCTAATGCCCTCTAGATTGGTTGCATTTCAAATCTTGTGTTGGTTTGAA